AAAAGGGCATAATTAAAAAACTGTAGTAAACTAACACTAATCTTCAAAATTTTAAGAGTGGCACCTGCCCTTCCTAATAAACCGCGCCGACGAGGCTTGTTCGGTCAAGTAGACACCGCCGACGAGGCTTGTCATGAACGCGAACTCTGCGCACCCGAAGTAAACAAAGTAGGACACATGGTGTAGGAATCTCACATATCCATTTTTGGTTAAGAGATATGATAGAATCAGGAACCATAGATTGTGGTTTGGATCTTAATCATTATGTGTGTGTATATATGCAATTGTGCTAGCTTAATTAGGCTAATACTTAATTGTGCTAGCTTAATTAGACGAATACTTTCGCTTCATCCCAATTAGGCTAATGCTTAATTTTGTTTTCTTTTTAGGAACGAGAACAGCTGAAGAACATAACGACTATGCTGCAGTACATAGGAGGTTCTGAACCCTCTAGGAGGTTTGGACCAAAACGGACATGTGCGATTCTGACACCATGTGTCCTACTTTGTTTACTTCAGGTGTGCAGAGTTCGCGCATGACAAGCCTCGTTGGTGGGTCTACTTAACTGTTAATGTGGCAAGAGATGCGGCCCACATTAGGAAGATGGTTCGTCACAGATTCATGATTTCTTAGTGCCTTCACCGCCAGAGTTTGGACAATTGTCCCGATCCAGGAGAAGAGTATCTCCATGGTCCCGATCGGCGCAACATTAGCTGCGGTTTTGAAGATGGTCGCCTTGGTCCTTGTTTGAGTGATGGAGCGGTGCAACTTTAGACACTAAATATAAAGTTGGATATGAAATTCAAATTTATTTGGAGTTTGGGTATGAATTAATCTTCCGTATTTGTTCAGGTCTAGAAACACACTTAACGGATTGTACGGGTATGAAAAAAAAAAACCTTTTTCCCTTAATCAACTAGAGAAAAATCTTCCACATATAGTTTTATTTAACAACAACGACTCATACAAAGTGTTTAGCCCATTTAGACGTCATATCGAATTGATTTGAAAGCCATCCATGTCTTTGAAAGATGAGGTTTCGACGGAAATCACAAATGGAGAGTGTTTGAAAATGAGAGTCACTTTGATAGAAGCTACTAATTTAGGAACTGAAACCATCTAGATATAAGGTCTTTGAGTTTGTGGTTTTTTAGTCCGTAAAAGATTAATGGTCTTGTCGAATTCCTTATATCTATATATACATTTTTGGTAGAGTTTTTGGCCAAAAAACCTTATTCCATTTCTTATTTGTACTCTTAGTCCCTACGAATCAAATCAATCCTTATCTTGACTTAGTCTATCTGATACCGATTCTAATCATGATCGTCTTTTACCCTGAATTAGTCACTGAATAATTCAGAACGTAATTCAGCAACACTAGAACTTGAAAGATTAAAGAATGAATTGTTTTTATTGATTTAGAAACTACTCAAAAACTAAATCTCTCTCAAGATCTTAGGTCTTTTGGAACAACTCTCCAAAGCCTTTTTTCTCTCTCTCTCTCTCTTAGGTCTTATGGAACAACTCTCCATAAGCCTTTTCTTCTCCATAAGCCTCTTAATCTAGTCTTATGAAACTATACTCTCCATAGACTCTTCTTATATAGAACTTAGCTACACTAATTCTATATGAGTCTCTTCCTCTAGACTCTCATGAGATCCTTTTCGACTCTCATGTGTGTCGATTCTCTTGAGTCTCGACTCTTTTCTTGAGCTCTCTCCTATGAGCTTTCTCTCTTTTGAGCTGCTTGAGCTATTCGAGCTTCTCGAGCTATTCTTCTTCTTCTTCATAAGGCTCTTATTTATACTAGATCCAAGCTTCTCCTAATCCTATTATGATAAGGAAATCTTACATACTTTATCCAACTTGACATTATTTGTATTTTCTTTTTCTATTCCTTCTAGCATCTTCTAGAAGGAAATAACTTGCTCCTCAAGTTAGTTGGAATTATCCAACAACGAAATCTATCTGACAAATATATTGTCTTAACCAAATTTTAATTGCTAATTTCCTAAAATCTCTATATTTAATTTAAACATAAATATATGATTCTTCTTTCACATTTATTTGATCTTATATTTAAATTATTTTGAATTTATATAAAATACATATAGTTAATAAAATATTAGATTTTTTTCTGCATATGATGTGATTAAAAATTTTAAAAACGGACTTATATTACTCAATCGATGAAGCAAAAAATATGTGTACAATGTCCCACATTGCTTAAAAAATTGGGCAATGGTTTAGTGTCATACTATAAAAAGGACTAAAATGATTCTAAATACGATAAACAAGAAGCTTGATTTAATGCATCCAAAATTAAAAGTGTTATCCGGTTTACTCTAGTTCTTTATTTTAAAGAATTATTTTAAAATATTATAAATATTTAAATTTATTAAAAGTTAAAAAAAAAAAAATATTAATACGGGACGGTATACTACGGGTGAAATCCTAGATATATATACATTTTTGGAGAAGATTTTGGGCAAAAATCCTTTTAAAATTTTGTATTTGTACATTTAGCCCCTGCAAAAACAATCTGACAAAAATATTGTCTTAAGCAAATTTTACAAAACAATAAATTAACTCACAAAACTTCTAACATTGTGATAATGAGATTTGATATTCAAAGATATGAAAATCAAATATTTAAATTTAAATACTATTAAACATTATATCGAGAATATCTAGCAAATGGAAACTACTTAAACAATAAAATCAAAATCAAATCTAAATTTCTAATGATTTTTCCACATACCTTATCATAAACAACTAATACAATATAAATCATTAATTCGATTGTTTAAATTATCCTAATTTAAACGTTAGTTTCCAGAATCTAACTGGTTTCCGAATTAATGCACATAATAAAACATGGATCAATTGTTTACACGAGGATCCAATTTATTTAATATTCTGATTTTGACCCAAAAATAATTAAATCGGATCTTTGATAAGATTTACCAAAAACGACTTAAATCATTAATGAAAAAAATTTAATGAGAAAATCAATCATCAATTATAGTAACAAATTTAAAGCATATTCCTTAAATAATCATATATTAATTTTCGAAAATATCTTATTTTAATATATTTTTGGAAAGTTATTGAAAAATTAAATCAAATTTCTATTTACATCCGATATTAATTTCAATACTAGAAATTGACCCGCGGTACACCGCGGGGCTATATATTATTTTTAAGAGTCAAAATTTAAATCTTTTGAAGGCTATCTACATATATAACCTATAGTTTTTTTTATAGAAAAATGTACATATATATCTATATATTATTCAGTGTGAGTGTACGATTAGTATGTTTTAGTTTTCAATTTTTAAAATATAGAAATGAAAACATACAATTCATTAACTAACGATGTATGGCGGATTTAAATTTAATTTCTTTTGTTGTTTGCATTTTATTATAAGATTTTTAAATAATATAAGTAATTTTATATATGTCAAAAATGATATTTTTGGTTTGTAATTTTTTTGAGTAAATAAATATTATAACAATGCAGTATGGATGTAATTGTAGCAAGGATAGTTCTGGCTAATAAATATATTTTCTAAAGATTTTTTGGCAATGATTGTTTAGGTTAATATCTTTGATTTAATTTTGAAAATCTAAATAATAAATGCCAATGAGATGCCATCGTAAATAGTAGTAAACTCAAGGGCTATGTTTCTTTTAAAAAAATCAAAATTTATATATATATTTTTAAAGATTATCTATTGATATAACCTATTGTTTATCAAAAAAAAAATCAATCCGCATGAAACAATATTCTTGAAGATTTTCTATTGTTGATGATATTGTAATGGTCTCATGTGTGCGATAATTAAGGGATTTTGTTATAATTAATGGAAATATGAAAAAATCTTGGAATATCTTTCCATTACTCGATTTTTTGTTTGATTTTGTCATTAACCTCTTTTCATTAATATTTTTGTTTTACATAATAAGAAATTAAAACGGATCAAAACTAACTCTAATTCATAAAATTATTATATGATAAATGTGATCAAATTACATATATATTTTTTTTTAAAAAAATTCTTATTTTTGATCCTTGTTTAAGTAGTACACCACATTACTCTTTTTCCAATAATACTTTCACGCTTAAAAATGAGATCAAATCAAAAGACGATTGCTATAAACTTCTATTTTCCTGAAAGCAAAAATAAACAAATTAAATTAAGAGCATATATATATATATATATAATTAGTTAAAACTAAAACATACATAGAAAAGAAGTATTAGGAATCACTAAATATGAAATACATTAAGGGGGTGTTATTGGTTTGCAACTTTGAAAGAGTTTTAATGACTTTAAAGAATATAGAGAGTAGATAAAATTAAAGATTTTAAATGATTACTAGAGAGTTTTGTATAATCTCTTTGATTAGCTTTTCCATAATCTTGTAAAGTCTCTCTCATAATTTTTAGAATCTTGTAAAGTCTTCCTAAATATAATTATAAACTTTGATAGTATCTCAAACTTTTATTATAACATATTTCCAAAATATTGCATAATATTGTATTGTGGTTATTATTGCTTGTCTCATCTTCTATATAATTATCTCTAACAAAAACGTAGGTTTTGGTTTTGTGAAAAGTGTACTCTCCCCAAATATCCTTCTACGCTTTTGTCAAAAGTTAAGAGGTACGTACGTTCTCAAATTTTCTCTAATTCATCTTTTAACTTGTGTGTCTATATATTATTATTTTCTTTCTATTTGGATGTTTTGATTTTGTGTTCTTTGACTGATTGAGATTCTAGTGATTATCAAAATTTTTCATATATTATTTCAGTGTATAATGGGTTAATGAGTGTGCTAAAAACAACGTTTCATAGAAAATAAATAAACTATAGATCTTTCGATGACCATTAACGAGGATTATAACCGTATCAATTATTTATAGAAACAACTTTCAAGCTATCTATTAGATTTATAACTGTTTTCTTTATATATTATGTTTCTTTGCTTAGTTAATGGGGGATTCCCAAAAGAGTAAGGAAAAGGGTCCATACAATCTGTGGGGACCAGATGAGACACAAGTGCTAGTAGAGCTACTTGTTGATGCAGTTCACCGAAACTGGCGTGACAATAGCGGTAACTTTAGCAAGCTAACGGTGGAGCAAAAGATTCTACCAGTTCTCAATGAAAGACTTGGATGCCAAAAAAATCACAATCAGTATCTAAGTAGATGGAAGTACTTGAGAACCCTATACCAAAATTATTTAGACCTTCAACGCTTTAATTCTGGATTTGGATGGGATCTTGAAATGAAAAGGTTTACCGCTCCGGATGAAGTGTGGGATGAGTATTTAAAGGTATATTTTCATTATATATGTTTAAGCATATAACATTATTTTTCAAACAGATCTTATGAGTGATATATATTTATATATTTTTTAATCTACAGAAACATCCTAAACATAAACATCTACGACATGAGTCAAATGAACAATTTGAGGATCTTCAACTCATATTTGGATGTGGCTTAGCTACTAGTGGTTCCGCAATTGGAATGGGTGAAACCACTGATGCTCGAACCTTTAGAAGTGGGGGGAGTAAAAGAGTGAAAGATAACAAAATTGATGATGAAGTTTTTGAACTATCATCTCAAGAGCCAGCTGCATCGCCAGAATGTGATACGCCACCCTTTCCAGGCACAAATCCAAAAGGACGGGTAGAAAAACTTCGTCCAAGGAAGAGGTCTAGAACCTTAGCTACTAGCAATGCAGATAAACTGAAAACTGATGAGGAGGATCCTATGATCATAGTTAGTAATAGGATCCTTAATGTCATACAACAAAGAGAAAAAAGACAACGAAGAGAAGCCGAGAAAAGAGAAGAAAATCTAAGGCGGGAAGCTGAGGAAAAAGAAGCTGAAAAGAAAAAAACAATGTCTGGGAAGCGATGAAGGAAATTCCTAATTTAGAGAATCATATTCGCTACAAAGCAGTTACCTTGATTCATTCGCTTGGAATGAAAAATGTCTTCATCGACATGTCGGTAGAAGAACGTTTTGGTTGGATTCAGAGCAATGTTGGCTTTTGAATTTTCTTTTTTGTTTTTTGTTTTTGATTATTGCTTTTTTTTTTTTTTTTTTTTTTTTTTTTTTTTTTTGGATCTCTTGTTTGGCAAGACAATATTTTTTTGTTGGTTAATGAATTTAGTTTCATACAAGTTCTATTGAAATTGATTTTTATTTTCATTCCCAAATATATCCTTTGTGTGTATACGTTTGATGCATAGTGGACTAGAACGTACCGTACGTCTAACAAACATAAACACGTCAAATTATTTTTGTTCATATTTTTCATTTAACTGATTAAATAATATTTGCAGGAAAGCGTTTGTATATCATGGAGCACACAATTTTGAGAGAGGATGAATTTCAACTTGAAGATGACGAATCGGAAATGGACGTTTTGCTATTACTACTAGAAAATACGACCAGAGCTTACTTTATGAATAGACGTATTGAGCGTCCGATGCGTAAGCCTATCACAAGAATTGGCTACATTTACATCCAGAAAGCTCTTAAGGAAGATCAGGAACACTTTCGACAGGTATACCGTATGTACCCGGAAGTCTTTTTGAAGTTATGTCATCTTATCACAGAACAAACATCTTTAAGAGGTACCAACCAAACTTGTCTTGAAGAAATGGTGGCTACATTTTTGCTCACCATTGGTCAAAATTCAAGATATAATTATACAATGGACACATTTAGGAGATCAAAATTTGCTGCAAGTACCAATTTTCACAAGGTTTTAAAGGCATTAAACACTATTGCACCAAGTTTGATGGCCAAACCTGCACTCACAGTTCCTACAAAAATAAGAGAAAGCACACGCTATTATCCTTATTTCAAGGTATGTTTACTACAAAATCTATTTCAAGGTACATTTCAACACAATTTAAATATTCATGATTTTTACAGGATTGCGTTGGAGCTATCGACGGTACACACATTCATGCAACAGTGCCTGCTTCTGATGCACCAAGCTATCGTAATCGGAAAGGATATACATCACAAAATGTTCTTGTTGCTTGTAACTTTGATCTAGAATTCATATATGTCCTTAGTGGATGGGAAGGTACAGCTCACAATTCAAAAGTATTAAATGATGCTCTAACAAGAAGTACGAGCAAGCTACCTGTTCCCGAAGGTATATACATATACATTACATAGATAATTATTTGGTTAATATAAATTTTTTAAAATATTATCATATATGAATTTCAGGAAAATATTACCTAGTTGATTGTGGATTTGCAATTCGGCGCAACTTTTTAGCTCCATACAGAGGTACAAAGTATCATCTACAAGACTTTAGAGGTCAAGGTTGTGACCCTAGTAATCAAAATGAGTTATTCAACTTGCGGCATGCATCTTCAAATCCCGTTTTTAAGGTACAAGCAGAACTCGTATTAGCTTGTGCTGGATTACATAATTTTCTTCGTAGAGAATGTCGGTCCGATGAGTTTCTTCCCGAAGAATACAGTGAGAACATCGAAGAAAACAATGAGAATAACGAAGAAAACACTTACGAGGAAAATGGAGATATGGGAATTCTCCAATCTCAGCAAAGAGAATATGCTAATAATTGGAGAGACACAATAGCTGCTAATATGTGGGCCGAAGCTACAGGAACCGGGAGCCATCCATGAAGAACCTGAAGTTTTATTTTCAAATATTTTGTTGAATATACTTTTCATGTGTTGGAGTAATATTTTGTTTTAAACATTGTTCGTGTGTTAGATTTTTTCAGCATAATACTACAATTTGGTTTTTCACAGTTCTTGTTTTTGGGTCAAAAAGCAACACACATAAATAGATTTTTGGTTGAATAGTGTTTACGTAGGCAATAGATCTTTGTTAGAGAGATTAGAGAGAGGTCGTAAACAAGTTATGTTCATGGGTCTTTGTTATCATTGGTCTTTGTTTAATGGGTAGGAAGATGATCCATGTTAATATATGTTGTTTTCTAAAAATTGTATATACAAAGTAAAATATACTCATATGATTCACAATCTCTCTTTTTTTTGTGATACTTTTCATGATTTTAGTTTCTGAAGAAAAGTGTATAAAATCATAAACCAATAACACAATAGTTTAAATCATTAACAATCAGAAATACTTTTGTTTTAGTTGAATAACACAGAATTTTCAATGACTTTATTAAAGTATGAATCCAATAACTCCAGATTTATAAAGATTTTAAGGTGGTGTTATTGGTTAGTGAAGTTAAAATCAACTCCATTAGAGTTAAAGTCTATCAGATTTCAAATATTTTGGGTTCATTCAAAGTGAACCACTATTCATTTTGTCAAATATATGGAGGTGCATTTTCAATGATACGTGATGTCATTTGGTTTTCTATAACATAACTGAATTCAATAACAGATGATTTTTATAATCTAATCGAAATCCAACAAAACTTTTGACCATTTTTTTCTTTTCTTATTTCAAGTTGTTCTAATGTTTCGAAGTTTTAACAAAAGATACATATGCTAAAGAATTTATTCATAAACCTTTGGTGATTTCAAATTAAAACTTTAAAAATAAATAAAATGAAAACAAAGTTCAAAAAATGCAACGTGAAAACAATCTTAAAAAAAAAATGCTACTGGTTTATTCCATACTGGTTTGAATCCATCCTAGCCTCTCTTCCACCGACATGCTCACGAAAACGTCTTGTATTCCCAAATGATAAATCTTGGTAAGTGCCTTGAAACGAATACGTTTATCCAAATCAGAAATTTCTTTTAGAGCATCCCAAACGTTATTTTTTTTTTGTGCCACTTCTTTTTGTTGCCTCTCTTCTCTTTGTTGTATTATATCCAAAATTTTACTGCTAAGAACCATCATAGGACTTTCTTCTTTTTGTGAAGTACTTCTCTCAGATCTTGTTCTTTTACGTGGGGGAAGCTTCTCCGTTGGACTTTCTGAAGTTCCATGAGACATGAATGGTGCGTAATGCTCTGATGACTCATGATGAGTTGTTGTATCATACTCATACCCGTTGTCAAAATCACTCACATATTCTTCTCTTGAATTCTTCCCAGCTTTGTACGTACGTGCATCCGTACTATCACACAATCCAACAGCTTAGTCTCCTCTGGCGACCACGGATTGTAATTCCCCTTTTTTTTCTTTGGTTCTGCATCTCCCATAGTGATATCTATGGGTACATCAAATTTCAAAACCAAATACAGTATACGTTAAAACATGAAAAAGTTACAATATATTAATGAACAAATAACAATTAGAAATAACCATACGTCAATGCAAAACGCAAAGATAAAGTCTGATGGGAAACAAAAGTTAATCAATATCACACTTCCAACATAAAAACATAAGAACGTAACAAAAAAAAACACATAAGAACAAGAGTACCTTTTTCTATGGAGTCTAATGAGCTCTTATGCTTTGAGAGGAGAGACATATGTGACATTTATAGAGATAGTGCTATCGTAGAGATGAAGATTAGATTAATATTTTGTGATAATATTATGATGATCATGTTAATATTCTAATTGATATGATTCTATCGTTAGTAGCAATTAGAATATTATGATGATCATGTGCAATATTCTGTTTGATATGATTCCATCATCGTAATGCCAATGAATTATTATTTTTAAACTATAAAAAAATTGAAAAGGTAAACGTCATTGTTGGGGTCGGGTTCCACCCTTTGGCGCCGAGCCAGACTTAGAACACTTCGGGAGTCTTTCAGAGATCATTTCGGGGCATCGCATCATTCACCTCGGGATATCTGTCTAATCGATTTAGTATACCCGAGCCCATCGCCTCGGGGATACTTAAACAAGACGTCGAAAGCACCCGAGCCCAATTGCCTCGGGGGTACCCGAGCCCATCGCCTCGGGGATATCCTGAACAAGACATCGGAAGCACCCGAGCCCAATTGCCTCGGGGGTACCCGAGCCCATCGCCTCGGAGATACTTAAACAAGACGTCGAAAGCACCCGAGCCCAATTGCCTCGGGGGTACCCGAGCCCATCGCCTCGGGGATATCCTGAACAAGACATCGGAAGCACCCGAGCCCAATTGCCTCGGGGGTACCCGAGCCCATCGCCTCGGGGATATCCTGAACAAGACGTCGAAAGCACCCGAAGAAGTCATCCTAGAGTGCCCGAGCCAGTCCTTCCTGTGTACCCGAGCCGGTTGCACAAGTTCCCCGAGGTGAAGTCTTCATCATCGCCCGAGGTAAAGACTTGGTAAATATTCGCTTTCAAAGTACCATTTCCAAGCAAGGTATCATTTCCGAACAAGAAGGATCATTTCCGATATACCCGGAAATGATAAGAGAGAATCTAGAAGGATCGACTCAAATCAGGAAATCCCCCAAAGACTCCGAAAAATAAGGAAATTATCCTAATCCGCGATATTCTGAGCCGACTTCAAGATAAATGGAAATCTTCCGAGAATATCGCTGGAGAGGCGGTTTATCACCCCTACATAAAGAGACTCAAGGCTCGATCAAAGGCAAGCAATATCGCTCTAGAATTTACACTACGCAAAGCTCTCATAGCACAAACATCTTTTTCCTTTTACGATCAAACTCTTGTACGATCAAAGTCATCTTTTTCTTAATAATATCAAGAACACCATCTTTGGTCACAATCGTTTCTGTTGTTCTTTGAGAATTCACGATTATCGTATCCCTAAAATAAAACCCTAGACAAATCTTGATTGTGTTAGTTTCGACTTCCACAGTTTGGCGCCGTCTGTGGGGATACTTTAGAATTCTCTTACCCTAAGACGCAGAACTCGATTACTGAAAAGGACGATGAACGAAGACGGTCGTCAGACACCACCAGCTGGAGGAGGGATCCCGAACCCTCCGAACCCTCAGAATCCTCAAGCCGATCCGACGATCCTAGCGACCCTAGCCGAACTGAAAGACCTGATGGTTAAATTCCAGAAGAAAGCTGACGACCAAGAGAAAGCCAACAAAACCTTGGCGCAGCGAGTCGACGAAATCGCAACACGCGGGCAACAAAAAACCACACGTTTCCAGACTCGGCCGCCACGAGCTCGGCGGGACTTGCCTGGCATCAACCCAACAAGACTTACGTTCGCGACACCAACCGGCAACACAAGAGTCGCAACCCAAGCCGACCCTGCCAGACGCGAGAACCAAGATGATCCCACCGAGCCGGACGCAGTGGACTTGACGGACGAGCCAGATGATCTGCAAGATGAGCGTACCCGAGCCGGAGCTAACTCCGCCGAGCGAACAGATCTCACTGACGATGAAGAAACTGAGGAAAACATAAGGTGGGCCGAAGAATCCGAAAGAGAAGACGAGCTAAGCAAGATCCGAGCCTCCCTAGCCAAGGCGGAAGCCGATATGAAGCTCGTCAAAACCCAAATACATAGCGTTTCGTCCTCCGCACCGAACATCGACCAAATTTTGGAAGAATCTCGGAATACGCCTTTCACCAAAAGGATTTCCGAAACGACGATGTCCAATCTGGGAAAGTTCAAAATCGACTCTTACAACGGATCAACCGATCCAAAGTGCCACATTAAATCGTTCGTGATATCTGTGGCCCGAGCCAGATTCAAACCCGGGGAAAAGGATGCAGGTCTGTGCCTACTGTTCGTGGAACACCTCAAAGGACCCGCATTAGAGTGGTTTTCGAGATTGGAACGAAACTCGATTGATAGTTTCGACGAGCTGTCGACATTGTTCCTCAAACAATACTCCGTGCTCATCGACCCCGGAACTTCTGACGCGGATCTGTGGTACTTGTCTCAACAGCCCACCGAGCCATTAAGGGATTTCCTCAAGACCTTCAAATCGACGCTAGCCAAAGTCGAAGGAATTACAGATGTAGCAGCTCTCTCGGCTTTGAAGAAAGCTCTCTGGTACAAGTCAGAATTCAGGAAAGAGTTGAACCTGTCTAAACCAACAACAATTCGCGACGCGCTGCATCGAGCCTCGGATTTCGTCGCCCACGAAGAAGAAATGGCGCTACTAGCAAAGAGGCACGAGCCAACAAAACAGGCGCCCCGAACCGAGAAAACCGAGAAAGCCCAAGCGACACTTCCGGTCCAGAAGAAAACTCGTGAGAGCGGTACGTATACGCATCACGAAGGGCGCAATTTCTCAGGATACCATAGCTACCAAATTGACACGCCCCGAGGCCGTGGCCGCGGCAGAGGCCGAGGCCGTGGGCGTGGAAGAGAGTCCTTCACTTGGACGAGGGATCAGCCACCGAGCAATGATCAAGAATATTGCGAACACCACAAAATTTTCGGCCATCATACCTCGAGATGCCGAAGCTTCGGAGCCAAGTTAGCAACCAAATTCCTAGCTGGAGAGCTCGGGACAAACGTAACCCTTAAGGACCTCGAGCCAGAACCAGAGCCCGAGCAGACCAACCCAGGAAGAGACCCCGAACCAAGGAACCAGGAGTCTCAGAAAAGAACCCGGGGGTCGGAAGACGAAGACCGAGATGGTACGCGGCAGAAGGTTCTTACCATAATGGGTGGATCACCTTACTGTCCTGACACCGTAGCGGCAATCAAAGCTTATCAACGCCGAGCCGAGACGCCTAGCAACTGGACAAGACGCTTCGATCGACCTAACGACGTGATCACATTCGAAGTAAGCGAAACAAACGGGCTCGATATGCCTCATAACGATCCAATCGTCGTCACTCTAGCAATAGGAGACCACGATATTTACCGAGTATTAATTGACACCGGCAGCACCATTGACGTGATCTTTCGCGAAACGCTCCAACGAATGAACATCGACATGTCACAGGTGGTTCCGACCCCGAGGCCTGTCCTCGGATTTTCAGGGGAAACTTTGATGACGCTTGGAACCATTCAACTACCAGTCCGAGCCGGCGGGGTAACAAAGATAGTCAACTTCTCAGTCACCGATCGACCTACCATCTACAACGTCATAATGGGAACCCCGTGGTTAAATCTAATGCGAGCTGTCGCATCAACATACCATCTATGTGTCAAGTTCCCGACCCCTAATGGCGTGAAAACGATATGGGGCAGTCAGAAAAATTCTCGGATGTGTTTCATGGCAGCACACAAACTCCGAAACCCTGTCACTGAAGTGAAGGCTGAAACGGATCACAAGAAATCAAAACTTGGCCGGAGTGAAGAGAAGGCTATATCTAAACAGTTATAGCAATTACAGATCGAGGAGGCGCGCGAGGAGAAGAAGCCTACCTCGGATCCTGTAATCTCTATTAGCCTCGACGACAAACGGCCTGAACGATGCGTGGAAATTGGCAGCGACTTAACCGAGGAGATCAAGATCGAGCTCATCTCATTCCTCAAAGAGAACATCGACACCTTCGCCTGGTCGGCTGAGGATCTACCTGGGGTAAGCATCGATGTAATCTGCCACGAGCTGAATGTTGACCCATCTTTCAAGCCCATCAAGCAGAAGCGAAGAAAATTGGGTCGGGATCGCGCAGATGCAGTGAACGCTGAAGTAGAAAAGCTCCTGAAGATCGGCTCGATCTCTGAAGCAAGATATCCGGACTGGTTAGCAAATCCTGTCGTGGTTAAAAAGAAGAACGGCAAGTGGAGAGTCTGCGTCGATTTCACCGATCTGAACAAAGCTTGCCCTAAAGACAGTTTTCCGCTCCCACATATCGATCGTTTAGTGGAAGCAACCGCGGGAAATAAGTTGCTATCATTCATGGATGCTTTCGCAGGATACAATCAGATTCTCATGCACCCCGACGATCGCGAGAAGACAGCATTCATCACAGACCGAGGTATCTACTGTTACAAAGTCATGCCCTTCGGACTCAAGAACGCCGGCGCGACGTATCAGCGACTCGTCAACAGGATGTTCTCAGAACAGCTCGGGAAGACGATGGAAGTTTATATCGACGATATGTTAGTCAAATCCCTTGAAGAAAGCGATCACATAGCCCATCTACGCGACTGTTTTCGTCAGCTCAACAAGCATAACATGAAGCTTAACCCGGCAAAATGTCGTTTCGCGGTAAAGTCTGGAGAATTCTTGGGATATCTCGTAACTCACCGAGGCATCGAGGCAAACCCGAAGCAGATCGATGCTCTACTAAACATGCCCTCACCGTAGAACAAGCGCGAAGTCCAACGTCTCACCGGGAGAGTCGCAGCCTTGAACCGATTCATCTCGCGATCCACTGACAAATGCCTGGCTTTCTATGATACTCTGCGCGGAAACAAGAAATTCGAATGGACCGATCGCTGCGAAGAAGCTTTCCAAGAACTAAAAAAGTATTTGGCCAATCCACCGGTTCTAGCGAAACCAATCCCGGGCGAGCCGTTATTCCTATACATCGCAGTCTCTGATACGGCTATAAGTGGAGTGATAGTCAGGGAAGACAGAGGGGAGCAGAAGCCGATATTCTATGTCTCGCAAACTTTCACCGACGCGGAAACACGCTACCCGCA